AGGGCACACCCTGCTCCCGTCCCGCTCTCGCTGTGTGGTGTGTGCAACACACGCTGGTTGGTGGGACTCCCTCTCTCTCCAGAGAAAATAAGGCGAAAAATAGCNAGTAGTATAGGGCACACCCTGCTCCCGTTCCGCTCTCGCTGTGTGGTGTGTGTAACAAACGCTGGTTGGTGGGACTCCCTCTCTCTCCAGAGAAAAAAAGGCGAACAAAAGGCCGGCAGCGTTGAACAACAACAAACAACGGAAACAACAACAACAACATCATCTATGAACCCCAGACCAACCAAACGTTCCCCGCTTCCTCCGCCGTCGCTAATAGCAGTATGTTTGTGTGTCCCGCCCCCCTTGTCCATGTTCCCTGTCTCTGTGTAGTGCGTGTCTTGCCAGTAGCAGCAGCAATGTGTTCGGCACGGCAGTGCGTCGTGGTTTCTTGCTTGCGTGCAGTTTGTTGCCCAGAGAAAAACAAAAGAGGAGTGGCCAAAATCGGGTACACCCTGCCCCAATCCGGCCATTATCGAGTACACTTGTTTTTCACAATCGGCAGCACCCTCCTGGCGCCATCTGATTGGCCGACGACCGCCCCTACCCGGCCCTGGCCCTATTCCCACCGGGTGCACCCGATCTTGGCTACTCACCTCCCGGAGGGATACCCAATCTTACTCTCGTCTACCCGAAAATGGCTAGGCTATTCGACCAACAGACCACTAGCAAACCACGCTCACGAACACACGTCATCAACACCCCGCACTCGAGTTCCGACGCTTCCGACGGCGGGCGGAGGCGGACCTAACACGACTAACGCGGCGGATCTTTCGTTTGAAGTGGATGACTTCCTGCAAGCCTCCTCCTGCAAACCACCGCCGACGGCGGAACTCTCTTGGTTCTGGTAGATCTCGCTCCTGCAAGTAGATCTCGCTCCTCAACCCACCAAGTCTCTCGTGGTTAATCTCGGCACTCGTGCCTGAACGGTAGACTGGCATCGGCAGAACATGAGCGATGAAGTAGTGAACACCGCGGTCCTCGCGCAAGGCGCGTGCTACTTCACCATCAGCCATCTTAGGACAGCGGTGGGTCAAATGTTCAGGGCAGACGGCCGTTCGTTCGTTGTGGGCAAGAACAGCGGGGGCGGGCAGAAGACTTACCGGTGCTCGGGCCATACCGGAGGCTGCAAAGCACAAGTCCGCACCTACAAGGGTGCCGACGGAGTGTGGAAGGTGCACACGATTGACGCCGCACACACCGATTGCTCCGGCGGCAATACGAAGGGGAGGACCGTTGCTCTCCAACACCTGGCCTCCACAGCCGTGACGGACCATTCGTCCATGAATGGCAAGGAGCTCAAGCGTAAGCTGGAGCGGGACACAGGGATCAATGTCGCCCACCGGACGGCAAACCGGATGAAGATGACAGCAAGGGACGGCGACAAAGCGACGACGGCGGCTGGGTACCAGCTGCTGGGTTCTTTCTGCGACCTGCTTCAACAGCAGTGCCCTGGTTCGGTCGCGGAAACCCAGGTGAGAGATGTTTTCTCTCGACTCGTGGTCTGCGCATGCAGCAAAATGTGTGGCTAGGACCTTGCTGATGCAACCGTGTGGTGTGTGGTGTCCACGGGCGACCGGTGTTTGTGATATAGCCACTACATGATGTACTTCAAAGAGCACAGCTCTCAACAGCACAGCCCTCAACAGCACAGCTCTCAGCAACAGCAGTAGCAGGGTNACGCTTCCGACGGCGGGCGGAGGCGGACCTAACACGACTAACGCGGCGGATCTTTCGTTTGAAGTGGATGACTTCCTGCAAGCCTCCTCCTGCAAACCACCGCCGACGGCGGAACTCTCTTGGTTCTGGTAGATCTCGCTCCTGCAAGTAGATCTCGCTCCTCAACCCACCAAGTCTCTCGTGGTTAATCTCGGCACTCGTGCCTGAACGGTAGACTGGCATCGGCAGAACATGAGCGATGAAGTAGTGAACACCGCGGTCCTCGCGCAAGGCGCGTGCTACTTCACCATCAGCCATCTTAGGACAGCGGTGGGTCAAATGTTCAGGGCAGACGGCCGTTCGTTCGTTGTGGGCAAGAACAGCGGGGGCGGGCAGAAGACTTACCGGTGCTCGGGCCATACCGGAGGCTGCAAAGCACAAGTCCGCACCTACAAGGGTGCCGACGGAGTGTGGAAGGTGCACACGATTGACGCCGCACACACCGATTGCTCCGGCGGCAATACGAAGGGGAGGACCGTTGCTCTCCAACACCTGGCCTCCACAGCCGTGACGGACCATTCGTCCATGAATGGCAAGGAGCTCCAGCGTAAGCTGGAGCGGGACACAGGGATCAATGTCGCCCACCGGACGGCAAACCGGATGAAGATGACAGCAAGGGACGGCGACAAAGCGACGACGGCGGCTGGGTACCAGCTGCTGGGTTCTTTCTGCGACCTGCTTCAACAGCAGTGCCCTGGTTCGGTCGCGGAAACCCAGGTGAGAGATGTTTTCTCTCGACTCGTGGTCTGCGCATGCAGCAAAATGTGTGGCTAGGACCTTGCTGATGCAACCGTGTGGTGTGTGGTGTCCACGGGCGACCGGTGTTTGTGATATAGCCACTACATGATGTACTTCAAAGAGCACAGCTCTCAACAGCACAGCCCTCAACAGCACAGCTCTCAGCAACAGCAGTAGCAGGGTAGTCTGTCTGTGTGTTCAGCGCCGATTGTTGGCGACCCCTTCGTTTCCTTCCGTCCTCGCTGTACATGCACCAGCGTTAGCTTGGAAGGTACCACGCCCACTTCGAAGCTCAACTACTCCACGACGAAGAGGGTTGCCACCAGAAGATTCTGTCGCTCAGCCATTTTGATGACTCTTGATTGATTGTGTCGTGTCGATTGATGTCGATTGCATCGATTGCATTGTAATCTCCCCTGATGATCGGTCAGGGGGGTCAGTGTCTTGTGTGACATAGATAGGGTGTAGTATCTTGTGCCACATAGGTACCGTCCGTGTGTACTACATACAACAACACGTGTGAGCTGCTGCTGCTCTGTTAATTTTGTTTGATTCCCCCCCCTCGTAGGTCAAGTGCTGCTGTGCACTTGGAACGACTTACCGTATATGACACAAGATAACACACCCCCTTGACCATTTTTCGAAGCTCGATTTCTCAAGTGCAGTAACAGTCATTGCGCCGAAAACGGCGGCGTTGAAACTGTCTCGTCGAGAACTTTTCGAAAATGTATCGTTTCGTTCATGCATCCCCTTCGTCGTGGTGTAATCGAGCTTCGAAAATCGGTCCAGGAGGTGTGTTATCTTGTCTCGTATACGGTAATCTTGTATGCTATGTGTTTTATCCCCAACTATTTTTACTCCCTCCCAAGTTGTACGTACGGGTAATGTATCCACCATGTCCGTAGACCCGCGAACATCGCATATTGATTGCGGCAAGCGGTTGTTGACGGCGTATCGTTCGCGCGTGTATATGTTTTCAAACGGAACAGGTGTGCTGGGATACGTATTGTTCGGCCATTGCTGACTGAAGAGCGGAAGATTTGAAGTTGGTATTGTTTCGCAGGGGTGGGAACTGACTCCTGCCCCTTCCGTGGTTGTTGTTGGGCGGGAAGGGTAACCGTTTGGTAACTCATGGCTGGAAAAAGAAGTGAATCCGTGCGGGGGAAATGTTAAATGAAAGGGCCTAGTTTGCCGACGCGTCAAGGTGCATTTCCGAAAACAGCGTACGGTAATTAAGAAAGTCTTCACGGCAGGGTATACCCTGCGCCTTTTAGGACGCACCGGGGTTTGGGCGCTGACCAATGATATGAGAGCATTTACTACTGTTAATGACTGTATACCCAGGTGTGTCGCTTTTCGACCAGGGTATACCCTGTTGTGTCGTTTTCCCATACTAAAGGCCCAGCTTTTTCGTCCACATGGTCCATGAGAGAAAACGCTCCGTGCATCGCCCTACTTTCGACCTGCCTGAGATTGTGCAGGCCAGCTTTGATGCCGATTACCCAATTTTCCAAAGGGACAAGAAATTAATAATGGTACAATTTGTAGGTCAGATCAAAAGTAAAATACAAGATGAGGACTGCACCATTCAAGCACAAACATATCGACGGAACCACGGTTCACCTAGCGTCACAATGTTTCGACCAAGCATATGAGAAAAAATCTTCAGCACAGATGCGAATGCCGCCGTCTCGCATATACAGGAGGTACTCAGCACAACGTTGATAACTCATCATCCGCCCTCTGTAACATCTTTGGGTTGGGGTTTTGTGCCGCACAACAGCAAAACGAGACCCTCACCCAAACCCCAATCATCCTCCTTTTCGACCCGAGCATTAAAGGCAAAACATACGCCTGCACAACTGCAGTCTTTTATCGCCGAAACGCTGCGACATGTCATGCGCAGCCCTACAAATAAATGTTTACTTTTAACCAACATCAACAACCTCCTCGATAACCGCCCGATGAAATGTCCACAAGTTCCGAAACGGTTGCGCAACCTTGCTGCTTTTCGCTACGCCGGGGGAAGGTCGAGACTTTTCCATCCAAAGAATGGTTGGGGTGTCCCAACGTGCTTCCCCAACCTTGAAACCTAACCGCGTATGACTGTTTCGAACATTAAATGAGTGAGGGCAAGTCGCGCATCAAAGGGACGTCGCGATGGATGAACGACGTGATGTTACAGTAAGCAAGGCGCCTCTCCCGTTACAGAACAGAGGAGGCCCGAGGCCCTCACTCCGCCACCGCAGCAGGCGTCTGGGCCACCATCCCTGCCAGTGCACCCGGTGCCTCCGCAGGACCCGCAGCTGGCGGAGCAACACACATCGCTCGCTTGGATACCGACGATTCCACCGTCGCACATCGGAACTGTTCGATTTGAGGAAAGACATATAAATTCACGGCAGTGAAATTCCTCTGAAAGGATGACTTCAAGTTGGAACCACGGCAGACGTCATGACCGGGTCAATCCAGCTCTACCTGGGATCTTGAGAGTCAAGGGTGAACTTGTTTCAGTAGGGCTTATTTTTGCCAACACCACGGACAGCCAGTCTAGCAAATGACTCCACGGTTCCCGACGTGCCCGCGCCAAACGCGGGTATTTGTCGATCGATCTTGTCTGTCCTGCAGATATGCACTTACAAACCTTCCGGGCAGGCGCGACACATACCCTGCCGTTGTGGAGACACGGTCCTTGAAGGCAGTGTCGTCTACCAATTTAATATAAACTCAGGAAGGGTGACCTGTACCAGTAAGCTTGTCCTATTTCGACCAGCCACAACTATTGAATTATGTACGGTAAAAACTGACACATTGATCGGTTTCGGCGCACGGCTGCAATGATCGCGGCTCACCTTCAACTGTAGGAGGCGGCGTGGGGGCCGGCGTAGGTTCCGTAGTAGGGGCCGGGCCTGTTTCACGAATGGTACAAACGCCCGTCGATACCAATTGCATTGTTGGCACGGTTACACCAGAATCACATGTTTCAGCGCGCTACGTCGACGCGCACGAGATAACGGAAGGCTTCCGGGAGCGCTGCCCGTTCCGATGAGGGTCTTGTTTGCGTTTTCACGTGGCCGATGAAGACAAGAGTCAGAGTTTCGCGATCATGCATGGTTCAATAAGCGTCACAAGGAGAAAAAACTCATGTGGGTTCATCACTTCCGGTGTTCAAGCTTCCTTCCCTCCAGTCTATGGACTCTCACCGGTCATGCAAGGCGCCTCTCCCGTTACAGAACAGAAGCGGCCCGAGGCCCTGACTCCGCCACCGCAGCAGGCGTCTGAGCCACCGTCCCTGCCGGAGCACCCGGAACCTCCGCAGGACCCGCAGCTGGCGGAGCAACACACATCGCTCGCTTGGATGCCAACGATTTCACCGTCGCACATCGGAACTGTTCGATTTCAGGCAAGACGTTGTCAAAATCACAGCCGTGTAAATTTCTCTGAAAGGATGACATCAAGTTGGAACCACGGCAGACGTCATGACTGGGTCAATCCAGCTCTGCCTGGGAACTTGAGAGTCAAGGGTGAACTTGTATCAGTAGGGCTCATTTTTGCCAACAACACCGTTGATAGATTGGACAGCCAGTCAAGCAAATGACCCTACGGTTCCCGACGTGCCCGCGCCAAACGCGAGTATTTCCGATCGATCTTGTCTGTCCTGCAGATGTGCATTAACAAAGCTGTTCCGGAGTGGCGCGACACATGCCTTGCCGTTGTGAAAGCAGGGTTGTGTCCGCCTACCATTTCGAATAAACTCAGGACAAATGACCTGTACCAGTAAGCCTGTCCGATTTCGATGAGCCACAACTATTGAACCATGGACGGTGCAAACTTCCGCATGCCCACATTTCAAGTGTTCGACACATCCTTCGGTTTCGGCTCACGGCTGCAATGACCACAGCTTACCTTCGACAGTAGGAGGCGGCGTAGGGGCCGGCGTAGGTTCCGGAGTAGGGGCCGGGCCTGTTTCACGAATGGTACAAGCGCCCGTAGATGCAAGTTGCATTGTTGGCGCAGTGTTTCAGCGACAAACGTTCAACGCGCTTTCGGACGCGGGCACGGTGATAAAAAGCTTCCGATTACGCTTTGTTTGCGATGATGTTTAACACTCTTGTTTGTGTTTTCACGTGGCCGATGAAAGACAAGAGTCGGAGTTTCGCGATCATGCATGGTTCAGCAAGCGTCACAAGACAAAATTCAAGTGGGTTTGCCAATTCCGGTGTTCAAGCTTTCTTCCCTCCAGCCTATGGGCTCTCACCGGTCATGCAAGGCGCCTCTCCCGTTACAGAACAGAAGCGGTCCGAGGCCCTGACTCCACCACCGCAGCAGGCGTCTGAGCCACCGTCCCTGCCGGAGCACCCGGAACCTCCGCAGGACCCGCAGCTGACGGAGCAACACACATCGCTCGCTTGGATGCCGACGATTCCACCGTCGCACATCGGAACTGTTCGATTCGAGGACAAATGTCAAAATCACAGCGGTGTAAATTTCTCTGAAAGGATGACATCAAGTTGGAACCACGGCAGCCGTCCACAATGAGTCGAACAAGCTCTACCTGCGATCTTGAAAGTCAAGGCTGCCCGTGCACCAGTAGAGCTCATTTTCGCCAACGTCGTTGAAGTATTGATAGATTGGACAGCCAGTCAAGCGAACGACTCCACCGTTACCCACATGCCCGCGCCACACGCAGGCATTTGCCGATCGATCTTGTCTGTCCTGCAGATGTGCATTAACAAAGCTGTTCCGGGCAGGCGCGACACATGCTTTGCCGTTGTGAAAGCAGGGTTGTGTCCGCCTACCATTTAAAAAAAACTCAGGACAAATGACCTGTACCACCAAGTCTGCAATCGAAAACTATTGAAGCATGTACGGTGCAAACTTCCGCATGCCCACATCTCGAGTGTTGGACACATCCTTCGGTTTCGGCTCACGGCTGCAATGACCACAGCTTACCTTCAACAGTAGGAGGCGGCGTAGGGGCCGGCGTAGGTTCCGGAGTAGGGGCCGGGCCTGTTTCACGAATGGTACAAACGCCCGTAGATACCAATTGCATTGTTGGCACAGTGTGTCAACAACACACGTTCAACGTGCTTTTGGACGCGAGCGAGGTGATAAAAAGCTTTCGATTGCGCTCTGTTTTCGATGATGTTTAACACTCTTGTTTGTGTGATCACGGGGCCGGTGAAAGATAAGTCGGAGTTTTGCGATCATGCATGGTTCAGTTAGCGTCACAAGGAGAAAAAACTCATGTGGGTTCGTCACGTCCGGTGTTCAAGCTTGCTTTCCTCCGGTCTATGGACTCTCACCGGTCATGCAAGGCGCCTCTTCCGTTATGGAACAGAAGCGGCCCGAGGCCCTGACTCCGCCACCGCAGCAGGCGTCTGAGCCACCGTCCCTGCCGGAGCACCCGGAACCTCCGCAGGACCCGCAGCTGACGGAGCAGCACACATCGCTCGCTTGAATGCCAGCAATTCCGCCTTCGCACATGAACTCTGTTCGATTTGAGGAAAGCCGTTTTCAAAATCATAGCCGTGAATATTTCTCTGAAAGGATGACATCAAGTTGGAACCACGGCAGTCGTCCAGAATGAGTCGATCAAGCTCTACCTCAGATCTTGAGCGTCAAGGGTGCACTTACATCTCTTCCGATCAATACGTCAACAATGAAATACCGAAATAAATTAACCGAAAACGGTTAGATGAGCGATCATGACCCGTAGACAGAATAAACAATGCCATTTTCAAGAACGCCATCAGAGGGAACGTCCGTCCTTCGTTATTCTTACAATATGCAGTGTGATGGGCGTGGGCAGGTCACGGAACGGGTACACGATGTAAGGAATTCTTGATCTTCAAGAGGAAGGGAATGTGAGTTCACGCACATGAACGATGTTACGACCATTTGTAAAGGGCTTCGACACTAAGTGTATTCGAGAATCATGGATGATACCGGTCTACGAACCATGCAATATCCCAGCCTAGGACATGTGGGTATAAGGGCCAGGCAAAACCCTTACCTCCAAGTGTAGGGGCCGGTGTGGCAGGGGCCATGGTAGGGACCGGCGTGGTAGGGGCCGGCGTGGTAGGGGCCGGCGTGGCAGGGGGGGACGTGGTAGGATCCACCACTGTAGGGACCGGCGTGGTAGGGGCCGGCGTGGTAGGGGCCGGCGTGGTAGGGGCCGGAGTGGTCGGGGCCGGCGTGGTAGGGGCTGGGGTAGGTGCCAGCGTCCCACCTGTTGATTGGAACACAAGATATGGTCGTCGATGGTGGGCCCCCAAAGTACGGATGTGTGGAGGGTACTAAGGGCGGTACGACGAGAGTTTCGAATCGAACCACTTGACGATAATTGCGAAGGGCTTTCATTCATCCAAGCCGTTGTGCAGTGAGTGATAGGTGTCGTTCGTTCCCCATTTTGTTTGCTTACTTTCGCAGGTGCCTTCTCCGCCATCGTGATTACACCACCACGTTACTGTAGGCTCTTCTGCCGCGCCGGCAAGGAAGTCTCGAACGTCCACGTCAATCGAAATTTCGTAGTCGCATAAGCAGGCAATTTCGCCGAGATCGGTGCAAGTCGTTTGCCCCTCCGTAGTCGCGCCACAAGACAGCACATCGATCATTTCCGCTGACGGTTCAGACATTGTCGGTCCCCCACATTCGCATTCACCAGAGACGAATGGGGCGCTGAAGATGGCCACCATCACTGTGTGCAGCGGCAGGGTCCAGAATTTTCCCCTCATCCTGACGTCGTCCGTTTTCTTTCTCCGCTTGCTGCGTTACACGAGAGTAGGAAGGGCAAGCAGAGATTTGGGTACAAATCCGTTGGGCGTGCGAACGTGGATGGTTGAAAGTGATGGCGCGTTAAGCAAAAACGTTATTTTTGAGGTAGCAGGAAACTGACATGAATCAGAAACATTCGACAAACATATCGAGATAAATTGTCCGGGAATATCCGATGAACGTAAATAACCACATCCATACGTGTGTACAGGGATATAACTGTAGATAAATACGTAACTACTGTAGCGATGCAAAGTTTGGTATGGAAGTGCTTGGGAGGACACATTCGACCAGTGTATACGCCGATACATATTTTGGTAACGCTGCTGGGGTAGATATCAACGCCCGTATACGCATGTAGTACGATGGCCATCGTGATACGCGGATGAATATGGGGCAAGAGGGTAGGAGGAGGGCGTTGATTGTGCAGTTGACGGTTTGTCGAAAAGCAATACGAAGTACTTCGATCCGTTGCTTTCTTCAGAGAACTTCCGGAAGAGGTGGATTGTGACGGATTTTTGTTTTCTCCTATCATTGCTCCCCTCGGTGTTTGCCATCGGGATAGGGTTTTCGTCGCCTGGCAACGACGTTGTAAAACAAGCCATTTCACTTCGTGAGCTCGGCAACCAAGTGACCGTTTTGTTTTTTTACATCCGCTTTTTTTTTTGGCGGTAACCATACTGGTGGTCAAGTAGATCATGTTGTGTGGGGTGGAGAACCCTCACTCCGCGCAAGGGGGATGATCGCACCACGTTGTGTTAAAATGGTCAAGCACCCTCGAGGCAGTTACACAGTGCTTACAACTGTCTCTGGAAGTGAAAGCACCAGAAAATAAATTAATTCATACGCAGCTGTCATCCGTACGCAAGGAAGTAAGCACAAGATGCCGAAAACCCTTAGCAGGATGCAGCGCACCCTTCATGCGACTCGCCGAATATCTCACGGCGCTTCGCGCTTGGTGATGTGAGAGCCTGGTCCGGTGAGAACCCGGCGTGCTCCGTCCCGGCTTTGTAGGGATGCGAGGTCAATGGTCTAACGACTACGGCATCCACGACTATGAGTACACCTCCATCCGCCCCCCCCATCATTGGACTCTGTCGTCTGCCCCTCTAGCCCCTATCCTCCACTTCTACTAGCTAGACGACCCAACCGGGGTCACATAGGGTTAGGGGGGGGTTGGACCCCCTCCTGCGGTTTCTGCCTGACGTATTTTTATCACGACAAGGGTACAGCAATGCCTTCCCTCGCGAATTACGAAGTCGATTGTGGTTTAATAACAAACGAGCTTCGCAGCGCGTCGCTTTCATCCTAGACCAAGATTTATTTAGTGAGAAAGAAACTCTCTCTGCCGGGACTCGAACCCATGACAAGGCCCTTAACAGGCTGCGAGGCTTCCCACTAGACCAACGGGGCGACCGATGTGTGTCACGTCTTGTCCTTCCGCCGAGAAGAAAAACAAAATCGACCCGTCATCCAAACGTCAGCAGTTATCTCGACAGAGTGGCAAGAAGCGTTGCAACGTGCCATACTATCGTGATTTCACACCGCTTTTGTCAACGGAACAGGAAATTGCACTAGTTTTGATCATTCCCTTCTGTCAATGGAACAATTGATGCACGCTCTGTGTTGGACGACGAAACCTTTACTTCCAGGACCGGCGGAGAGCAAACGCTCTTGATATTTGATGTTAAGCGACGGCGAGAAGCAGGCACACCTCTTGAATCAGTGATTTAGCCACACCCAAAGAGCGCGCGGTGAAAGTTTTCCTCGACCGTTGTCGATACACTCACGAAAATACCGCGAGGCATCACACCTGGTTCCAGACGGACGCAGCGCGGATCTACCGGCCTTGGTGTTGATATTTTCTTTTTGCCGGAACACCATCCCACGAGCACTCAATCCCCCTTAGACTTGAACCAACTGCCTTTCGACGTTGGAATTTGAGGGTCAAACAGAACAGTTTTTGAGAACCGCGTGATATCCCAAGGCACCAAACCTTGAGCTAAATAAATCGCGAGAAAGCTTTGGACTGATCGGTACAACACCAAACACGTGACGATCAAACACCGAACTTGAAATATAGATGGCGCCCGCACTTAAGAACCGATCATTGTGGCTTCCTCAAGAGGAGTACCTGTTTTAATATTCGAAGCCCTTATTTCGAGCAGGCACTCATGTATGATAAACGGGGTTCTTGTTATTAATTATATCGCCAAGATCCCACGGCACCTTTTTATTCGGCGTCAACAGGTGAGAGACTCGACGAAGGCTGGGTCAGAGTGGGATGTGGGGGAACGCTCGAGGAGTGAGTAGCGTGTGCAGCCGAACGTGGGCACGCGTCGGCATGCAGCGTCCCCCATGGTTGTGTCATATCTTAGCACAATACAGGCGACGACCACGCCTCAAGATCGAATAAACTCCGTTTCCCCATAAACAACATCAGGGAGTCAATCTTGTTCGTGCATGACTATGGATTCCACTCAACTATATAACGAATACCGTGCGGCGGCGGATGACTGCAGATACACAACACCGCCGGATACCATGTGTGTATTATATTTTTGTTTGTTTTTTCTGGAATTATTGGACTCTGTCATTTGCTCCTCTGGCCCGCATTCTCCACTTCTACTAGCTAGACGACCCAACCGGGGTCGCAAAGGAGGGGGGGGTTAGACCCCCATCTGCGGTTCCTGCCTGAGATATTTTAATCGCGAAAGGGATATACAGCAATCCCCTCCTTCGCGACTAATGAAGTCGATCGGATTTACTAACAACGAGTTTCCAGCGCGTCACTTTCAACCTAAACAAGGATTTCATTGATGAGAAACCAACTCTGCCGAGACTCGAACCCATGACCTATCCCTTAGCAGTCTGCGAGGGTGCCAACTAGACCACCGGGGCGACCAGGTTTGTACACATGGATCCTGTCTGTATGCGTACACATGCCTGCGTATGTGTGTACGTACATGGATTCCACTGAGCGAAATCGGCAGGTGACTACAGCCTACAATACTTGACTGATACATAGAGATTGCTTCCGAGCGACTGAGGTGCACCATGTAAGTGTAAAAGACTTAATCAACACGTGACAACTGTACGACATTAGTGAGGGAAATCCAATGAGAGAAAGAGAGGGAAACGACACGCGGGTCGGGTTATCATTGATCGCGGAAACGCGTGCAGGGTGACTGCAGCATGGATGATGGTTGATTGGTCGAGGATCGCGGATTGCGCGAGAGATGACAATTAATCGACGCGTGCATACAAAGAGGGACGGACTGTACAAAGTGCGGAAGGCAGCGCATAAGGGAGCACTGAGTGGACAACTCACTGGCAGTGCAGGGCCCGAAGGCCGAGAACCCGTGGGTGCAGGCGGGCTGAAGACAGCAACAATGACAACAGAGCCGTCCGTTTGAGGGAGAAAGAAGGGATTGGGCAGACCTCAAAATAAGTGCTGGCCAGTAGTGCGCCGAGAGAGTTACCCCGCCATGCGTGCGAGTACATACATGGATTCCATCAAGATGTGCATGATGAGGTGACTACTGCTGTCACACATGAGGAGAGAAGAATATTGACAAGAGGGTAGAATAGAAAGAGAACGAGATAGAGAGTGAGAAAGAGAGGAACAGAACGCGGATGGGGTGATTTTAACTCGTGGAAACGCGTGAATGACGTGCGTGGTTCATTGCGGAGCATGCGAGGATGACTGCTGATCGATGAGTGCAAAAGTGAAGTGCGAGGTGCAGAATGCTGCGCCAAACGGAAGAACTGACTGAATAGAGCATTGAGGATTGGGGCAGTGGCTGGAAGTGCAGAGCGCGAAAGCACTGGGTGCAGAGGGACCGAAGCCAGCAGCACAGACTCGGTCGATTGAACTTGATGTGAAAGGGAGATCAATGAACACGAAAGGGCGGCCCTGGAAATGCCGGCCTAGGGTGCGCCGAGAGAGGAAACCCGTCAGTCGATTTGATGTGAATGGGTTTTGGTGGCTTCCGCCGCCGCGCTTTAGAGCAGCCATTGCATGGTATTTGTTTTTGCGCTGAAGATACGTTATTGTGCTAATAGTAATCGGTTTCGGAAGTATTCTTGGCAAGAGCTCACCTTCACTTTAAAAAGCACAGTTCCTGGGACCAGTCCCGTGTTTTCGCAAGGTTCCAGCCTATCATAGTCTACTGTTCAACATGTGATGTAACCATGTCACCATGAGAAATCAGATCAGCACGGCCCGCGACCAAATCGCCATATCCCCAAACAGATGCTCGCATTCGGGTGAAACCTTCGACGCTGTGCTTTCTACAGCTCTGAGGTACCTTGCCACCAACAGGAATGGGTTTGAGTTGGGCGTTGTGAGCGTCTTGTGAGAGAGGACGCGACGTTATTGAGGTGGAATGCATAACTGTGTGCACGCACCCAGACAGAGTGTGCGCACGCAGCGAAAAACGCACGCGGCACGCTACAGTGCTCGGATTTCTCTCGCAACGCATCCGGCCAATTTTCATGCCAGAGCCAAAAATGCACAAGGCAGCAAGATACCCCGGCATCTGTTGTGGATCATGCTGAATTACATCGTGTTGTGTAGCAGGTGTCTAGCCCCTGCTGCTGTGGGCGGGTGTGTGTGTGTTCGAAAAAATATGAGCGAGCTATGAGGCCCGACATCAATTTGACAGCGCCGAAGCAATGTGTCCACCTACTGCTGGCAGGAAGCACTACGACCAACCGCGGGCATGCGTTGTTAGGGTGAGGTGTGCAGCAGCACCCATCCTGGCGTGTTGTTGACCAAAACAGCTAAAAAGTAAAAGGTGAAAAAAGTCGAAAAAGTTCGGCATCAACAAACACCAGCTGCCATTCGTACTAAATAAAACTTTATTATAGGGTCGAACGCGGAGGACACCGGTCGGGAGTATGGCTAACCATGTGTGCAGGGAGAATGACCAGAGACGCACCGTCGGAGATTTATCTCTTCCAAAGTCCCTGGCCACTTACCA